TTTGTACTGTTGGGAATTATGGAGGTTTCTGAAGATGATTTTGTATTCATGGTTCAGCTTCATGACTTTCAGATGTTGTGTCTAGATGTATTGTGTATGACAGCTGAGTCATGGATCACTGAGAGTGAGAAAAAACTCATTAATTTTACCTTCAGGGAAGGCAATTACCACTATAGAAAAAATGAAAATGTTCCTTGCTGACTGTAATATGATGAATAGTATCTAACCATGAAGATGAAAATGCATGGATGTAGAGCACTGAAATGTGTGCTTACTAAGTGTGGTGCTATTTATCTTCTTCCTCTAGTGAGGCAAACCACATCCCTCTCAACAAACTCACACTGAATCCGTCCCACAGGAATCAGCCTATTGAGTGCTGAGCACTCACTGCAGAGAGGGGTCATGCTGGGTCTCTTTACATGGGAATGTTTTTTTCTCTCAGTGCATCCATAAAACAATGACCAAATGCAACAGAATAAATGGAGATGTCGAACCCGCAGTGAATCTGCTTTAGAATATGTGTGGGCTCTGAGATCCTCGTCTACTCTGGACGGGGTGTAATCCGTCACCGTCCTCATCCTGCTATTGTGTTGGGAGAGGATTTAAGACACCGTGGAGACTTGTGGGAAAAGCTCCTACGGCAGCCATTGTCTTTACTGCCCCATCAGTGGAGTGAGTGCAGCTCTGCTGGTGTGAGTGACATGATGTGGAGGAGAGGATTGAATGGGATTGAGGTACAGTAGACTGCAAACTAACAAGTGAGTTCTAGTCAGACGTGCCATACAGAGATCTCCAGACACTTCCTGCTATCAATAAAATGGCAGAAACCCCCCAAAATCATGAAAAAGTGAATGAAGAGGCATGGGCGTCGTTAGGCCATTTTTAGGGGGCTATAAATAAAATGACTACTTGGCCCCCCTAAAATCTTGCGATTAGCTCCATAAACTGTACGCGAATTCGTGATCGCCTCCGTCCCCTTTAAATTTCATATGAAAACGGCGGCAGACTTCGATTGGCTCCTCCCCGTCTTTCAGCGCGTTCTTTTTTCAAACCGCAGACCGCGGCGGTGCAGAGCTCGATAGATTGTTATAATATCTGCATCTGTGCAGTTCTTTGTCAAATCCAGTTTACAAAATAACATGGGGGAGCAATAATCAGTTCCCCATCTACTGTAGCCTAAGTTTTCACTGCGTTCACCCCTCATCACACCACAGCTGTTTCCTCCAGCGAAAATGAAGCACATATGAACGCATACTTTATAAATCGATCATGTTGCCATTTTCATTTGAAAATGTAACTTTCAATATAATACATATTCCAGTGCATGTGGCAAAGAGGTTTGCATGCTTGAGCTAAGGAAAGAGGGTTGTACTAGAAATGCAAACAGTAAAATTTTGTGTTTGTACAGTAAACAGGTTGTGTGTGAGATCATGAAGACTTAAATGTGGCTTATTCGGTACTCAAATATTATACCTATCTATGCAATACAGTGGAATACTGCAATAAGTTTAATATATGACCCCTATTAATCAAAAATTTTTTATCTTTTTATATATAGATTTTATTAGGCTATTATTATTATTATACCCTCACTAGGGGCTGAGCCCCCCTAAACTGAAAATCCTAGAATCGCCCCTGTGAAGAGGTTGGTGGATGGTACTGAGATTCCAAGCCAAAAAGAAGCTAAAACTTTCAGCTAAGACTGATTGATAAAGTGTCATGCTACAGTGGCTTGTTATTTGAATCTCTTTGCTTTATCATGTCATTGTTAATGAGGTACAAGAATATCGACTGACCTGTTGAGCAGGAAGATATTGTCACTGCAGGTCAAGGCCTCCAGAAGAACCTTCTTCTCAGAGATGGCTGTAGAAGAGTGAAACTTCATCCAGATAAACTCCCACACATCCTCATCCATCAGAGAAACACCTGTGCAGTAAACAATGTCCCGCACGTTGGGTGGAATCCTGTGGGATAGAAGACCAAAACATTCCAGTGAAGACGCACAATAACTATAAATGCTAATAAACGCTAATAAATCATACATGCTAATTTTAGCATTTAAATTCTCATATTTAACATTTACAAGTGTATTGATGGAGCTAAAAACATTAATTTATTATTTTCTTTGATGTGCATGAATACATGGAAAATAGTTAATAATGTTGATACATTAGCATATATGCAAACTGAATGCTAGAGGTGATTAGCATTCCTCTCTATGACCAAGTCTGTTGATTAAACATTTACTAAGGGCTATTTACACACCATTAGATCACATTGTGTTCACACCTTTTTAGTTTTAATTCTTGAGAATGACATTTTCCTAAAGAGAGCATTTTTCACAGCAGTAATTTGTTACGTCCTCAGGGTTGTTTAAAGATAGCAAAT